ACATATTGGAAAAAAATACTTTCAAAATCAGAATGTAATAAAGGGTTTGGGTCCAGCACACAGAAAACATAACAGGATGATGAAAAGACAAATAAGCCAATTAGAATGGGGAAACGAAATGAATATACATTTCACCAAAGAAAATACATCAGCAGCAAATAAGCCCATGAAAAGATGTACATCAGAATGGCTTACTAGTGAGATGCAAATTCAAACCACAACATGGATACCACTTCACACCACTAGAATTCCTACCTTCAAAAAGAGGTTATTACAAGTGTCCAGAAGGATATGAATTTCAACCCTCAGGTATTGCTGAAGGAACCATGGTAGAGTCTCTTTAGGAACAACTTGGCAGTTTCTTAAAAAGTTAAAACTTATCAAATTCATAAACAGAATAACCCAATGAATCTATGCTTAGGTTTCTATCTATGGGAAATAACAACATATGTGGAAACAAATATCCACAATGGTTTTATTCATTATTGCCTAGAATGGGAAACAAGCAAATGTCAACCAATTGGTGACTGAATAAACAAAACACTCTGTAGAGCCATACAACAAGATACTGTTCAGTAATGAAAAGGAACACACCACTGATGTGCAACACTACCAAGTAAGCAACACCAAAAAACGTTTAGCAGAGCTGGGTGTGGCTCAGTGGTGGAGGACTTACCTAGAATGCATAAGACACTGGGTTCCATCTATTCAAAGAGTTGAAATAAACAAAAGAAACCAGGAATAACAGATATATAACCCACCTACACAAATTGTCCAGAAAACACAAATTTACAGAGGGAGAAGGAATACATGGCTACCTGGATTTGGTGGTAGGAAATGAGAAGTGTCTCAATATAGTATTCTTGAAAGGGAGGGAGGAAGGAAGAGAGGGAGGGAGGGAAAGACAGGAGAGAGGGAGAGGGAAGGGAGGGAAGGAAGGGAAGGAAGGAGGGAAGGGAGAAAGAAGAGAGAAAAGAAAGAAAACAAAAGTTGACATCATACCATCAAATTTTTGAACAGCTGCTCCAGACTGGAGGTACAATGTAACTTCCAGGATATCATGTTCACAGCTTTGTCTGACATCCAGGGCCCAGGTTGACCCTGCTACCTGGCCAGCCTTCTCAAAAACTCTCACTCCTCATGGAGGCCAGCCATTTTGATGTTGCTCCAGAGTCAGAGCCTGGGCCAAGTCTTCCACTAATTCACCACGTGACCTTGGATTACATCCCATCCTGAATCTGCTTCCACACTTGCAAGATACAGGTGACATCTCACCTCTAAGATGGAGATAATGATACCTCACAAGGTCAACATGTGCAGCTCTTAATATGATTAGCACAACACTTAGTACAGTGCACATATGTACTCTTCACAGGACTGCCTCAGGTCATTCCATCTATGTCACCTCCTCAGCAAGGCCAGGCATTTTCTCACCAACCCATCTCAAGTAAGATAAGCCCCATTACTCTTTTCATCCTTTTAATTTCCCTCTCAGAACCTGCACTTTTTTTTTCATTGTGGTTCTTTTTTCCCAGTCTGTTCCCCCTACTAGGTCTCCATGATGGCTGAGAACTTTGTTCCTCATTGCCTCTATATGGCCAGGCCAATGCCAGGCAAACAACATTGCAGTAAGCATTTGCTGAGGTGACTAACTGGCAGCTCAGGCAGTGTTCTGGCAAGGAGCCTCTCTGGCATCTGCCATCTTGTATCTCACTCATCTTTTTTGGTCTTTCTCTTCCCCAATAGTCCAGAACCAGGCTCAGAGTAACAATGAATAATGGTACATTTGATCTAGTCAGATGACTGGAATGAGTTTGGGGACCTGGCTGAATAAGTGGGTTCTTGAAGTGTGTGGAGCAATAGGAGGTAAATAACTGGAAAGGGGAAGCAGTTTGGGAACTATGAGAAGTCTGGATGTCAACAAACAATCAAATTCAGCTGAGGTATTAGAAGGTCTGCTTACACAGGGTGGTGAAGAAAAAGGGAGACATAGTAGACTTTGTTGCCATATGCCATATGCCTTTTCTTAAAGATGCTGAGGTTCAATGTACTGGTCAAAACAATTATGTATTTCAATCTTTATGTATTTCATGCATGCTTGCTCTAAAAATTGGAGTTGAATATAATTGCAACATTTTGCATCAATTAAATTTCATTTACCTTCCAGAGTCAGAGCTTGAACTTACTATGCAAATTTATGCAAATGAGTATGTAAATGAGCAGGGCCTTAACCCTTAATTTTAAGGAAACTAGAGCACCAGGATCAGACCCCAGGGATTAAATGCAAGTGGTCGCTATGAATATTTAATTTTCTCTGAAGGAGTTAGGACAGGTAATCTTTGGCATCTACCTTCTATTAACTTTTTATTCATTCACCTGGGAAACTGCTTTGTTGATCTGATTTTTTTTTTGGCGGGGGGTGGGGGTGGGTTGTTTTGTTTTTTTAACAGGGTCTCTCTAGTCCCAGCCACCTGGAACTCATATGTAGACCAGGCTGGTCTTGATCTCACAGAGACCAGTCTGCCTCAGCCTCCCGAGAGCTGGGATTAAAAATGTGCACCTCCAAGCCCGGGACTGATTTTTTTTTTCCTTTTGCTGATTTTATATTCACCTGCCTAAAGACAAAGTTAATGTTTTGTTTTTTTAACAGGGTCTCTCTAGTCCCAGCCACCTGGAACTCATATGTAGACCAGGCTGGTCTTGATCTCACAGAGACCAGTCTGCCTCAGCCTCCCGAGAGCTGGGATTAAAAATGTGCACCTCCAAGCCCGGGACTGATTTTTTTTTTCCTTTTGCTGATTTTATATTCACCTGCCTAAAGACAAAGTTAACTTCCCAACCCTCAATCAAACACATCATTACCATTACATCTTTTCTTCCATCTTCCTCTTTCAAATCAGGCATACAAGGAAGGAAGACATGACTTTCCCAGCATGGGGCCAAGTACCTCACTGTGTACCTCTGAACAAGCCATTTATTTTCTCAGATTAGTCTGCTCAACTAGAAAAGGAAGCTAACAACTCCCAAAGTTCTCTCTAGTTTAAATACTTGACCAAACTAAATAGGGTACCAGCATCCCTGCAGGCCAGGTAGAAGCAATGTCAAAATTTTCAGGCAGCCAAAATGTGTATCAGGCTGGCTGGAAGTTTGAAATGAGAAAAGATCTAGATTAAAGTCATAAATATTACTCAACTAGTGCCTTAGACAAACATGCTTAACCTCTCCAAGCCTGATTTTCCAACTCTAAATTGTTTATAGTAGGAGCTGGTCAGTGGATAAGAGCACTTCCCTAGGTATAGTTCCCAGCACTCACATCCAGAGGCTCACAATCACCTGTAACTCCAGTTCAGGGAATCTCACCCTCTTCTGACGATCATGGATGGCCACATGTAGTATATAAATAGGTACACACATATACCCATAAAATAAAAATAAATCTTCAAAACAAGAGAGAGAATATTTCTAAGCATTTGTAAAATACAGAATTATTAGGAAAACTAGAAATAAAAAGTCATTTTCAGTCAACTTAAAAGCCATCTCCAACACTTCCCTGAACACTTGAAAACTCAGACCATTATTCCCCCCAAACAGGAGACTTAGTGACAAAGGTGGAGACCATCCTGAGTTAAAGCTTTCCTCCTAAATTCTACCTCAGCATCTTGCCTCTCAGCCTTCCAACAGAAACTTATCTTTCCCCCATTTCATTCTTGACACAAGCCAAATCAGCAAGGATACACAGCACCTGGTAAGTACTCAACATGCTGCAGACTCTGGGAGAGGCCCCCACAAATCACTCTGCATGTCCTCTCCTCTCCACATATACCTTTATCTTATCCTTATCTCAACTTTTTTCTTTCAATGAGACAAATGTAACCCAAGAAATAACTTGTTCAGATAAGGTCACACAGCTAATTAGCCTGAAGTCTTTTTTGAACTACCTCTCTAATTCACCTTGTCCAAACTCTTATTTTGTTTAAATTTGATTCTGTTCATGGGTTCATTCACTTAACCACTCAACAATGATTGAAAAGGCACCCACTATCTGTCATGCACAGTAGTTCAACAAACAGTCTTGGAGTTGACCTACTTCATTCCTAAGTCTCCTACAGGTGATCTATGTGACCTTGGATATGTTGACAGCACCTCAGTTCTGGGTAATCTATAAAATGGGCTACAGGAATTCTACTTCTCTCACACGTCTGTTGAAAATTAAATAATACCTTTAAAGGGCTGCCACTGTGCACTGAAATATGAGCTGCACTTATTCTCCCAGGTTCTGGGAATAAAGTCTTGAATCACACAAGAACCTCACTCACCTAAGCAGCTTAAGTTCTAACAGACACAATAACCACACTGTTTCAAACTGTGACCATGCTATGAAAATCACACATGTGACAATGGTGTAAGAAGCTGCTTGAAACTCTGGTGGTCAAGGAAGAATTCTTGGATGACAATCTGAGCTGTAGCAAGAATAACGAAAGCCAGATTAACGACATGTGAGGAGAAACAGCAAACGCTGAGATCTTGTGCTTCAAGCGAACTGGGGTCTTCAGGGAAGAACAAGGAGGTCCTGAGGCTAGATAAGCATATATATGGAGGTGATGGAACAGGCCCAGGACGGAGTCAGAGGGTACCAGGACAGCTTGTAAAGGCAAGTGACTTATTTAATCAACTTTAACAGGGTAGAGGCCCTGTAGGATTGGGGGGGGGCACAGGACCTAATAGTATACTGTTCGCAAATTGGCCCCAAGGAGAAAGAGTGAGCAGGGGTGAAAACGGTGGACCACGTCGGGAAGTGCTGCAGTCGGAGAAGCCGGGTTCTAAGGATGGGAGGGCTCCGAACAAATTCAGAAAACGGAAGAGCTAAACTGGTGGGCGCCGGCTCGCGGCTGCAGGCTTCCCTCTGGGGCCAACGGCCTCCCCACCTGTCCAGTTTTCTCGCACAGCAGCTCCCATTCCCGCCCGCCCGCGCCCTCCGGCCGCCCCGCCGCGCCGCTCACCCGGATGCCCTGCAGCACCCGGACCCGCTCCTCCTCGTCCATGCCGAAGGACACCCTTCGGGCCTCGGCACTCTCGGAGCTGCCCATGACAGGAGGCTGGGCGGCAACGCCAGCCGGCTCCGGAGCAACAAGACCACCCCTGCGCGGCTGCCGACGCTAGCGACGGGCACAGGCGATTAACACCGCTCCCCATTGGCCGCTGCAGGGAGCTCGCCCAATCCAGGTGGCGCGTGCCCGCAGTGCCTTGTGGGGGTTGTAGTGCAACTTCTGGGTGCTGTGTAGGGGCGGGGTGTAGTGCGGTGGGGGTGTGGTGGTCTGAGGCCCCGGACCCGAGTAGGTGGGATAGTGGAATGAAGAGCCACAGAGTGGCGGAGGCGGTGTCCAGTTCCTTCGTAAAGGTTATCCTAGAAGCTCAGAAGAGACCATCGAGGCCGCTGAGGTAACCATCCTTGGGCTGGTTTATGTCAAGTAACACCAGGCTCCTGGCAAGCACTGACTCACCCCACCTGATATGACCTGCCTTATACAGCTTCAGTCATGAAGGAATGGAAGCACAAGTAAATAAATTTACTGTAATGAATGGAAAACAGCACCGTACTACCACGAGAAAAGGTAATAAATCAGTAACCTCAGCCGGGCTTGGTGGCGCATGTCAGCACTCAGGAGGTAAAGGCAGGAGGTGGATCTCCGAACTGGAGGTCAGCCAGGTGTACAGAGTGAATTCCAGGTCAACTCGGGCAACAGGGAGACCTCTGACAGAGGACAGAGGGTTAATGCATATCAACTCTCAACAGAGAAGCTTATGGTACTACTTGTGCTTTGATTCCTTCATGACGGAAGCTGAATACCGCTCCCCCCATCTCAAACTCAAGATCCTTCTGCCTCAGGCTCCCTAGTGCTGAGATTACAGGCATGTGCCATCACTCCCAGCTTGAAATCTTTTTCCTTAATGTAGGTATTTGTCAGTGTAAACTTCACTTTTAAAAAATGTTTTTGCAGGACTAGAGAGATGGCTCAGTGATTAAGAGCACTGACTGTTCTTGCAGAGGACCAGGGTTCAAATCCCAGCACCCACATGGCAGGTAACAACTGTCCTAACTTCAGTTCCAGGGGACCCGATGCCCTCTTCTGACCTCCACAGGCATTGAAGGACACAGGTGCACTTATATGCAGCCAATACACTCATACAAATCAAAATAATTTTAAAAATTTTAATGCTTTTCCAAGTCAGTGAGATGACTCAGCAGGTAACTCACTTTCTACCAAGCCCAATGACCTGAGTTTAATCTCCAGGATCCATGTGGTGGAAGGAGAGAACTGATTCCTCCCTTCACATACACGGTGTGGCACTAACATTTGCACACCTATACACACATCCACACATCCACACACACCATGTAATAAAAAATAATCGACCCCAAGCTCAGTTAGCAAGTCCAATAAACTTAAGATTCTTCAAAAAAAATAGATGCTTTTGCTATATTCTTTATGATTTGTTATTTTTGTTTCCATTTTTGTCTCACAGTACCTTTTTGTTTGTTTTTTGTTTGTTTTGTTTTTTTTGAGACGGTCTCCCTGTAGCCCCAGCTGGCCTGGAACTTATGTCAGCCAGACTGAACTTGATCTCACAGAGATCCTCCTGACTCTGCCGCTTGAGTGCTGGGATTAAAGGTGTACACCAACATGCCTGACTTTACATTATCTTTTTATTTCCCTTTTGATTTCTTCTTTAGCCCATTGTGTTGTTTTAATTTCCTCACATTTATGAGTTTGCCAAAATTCCTTCTATGGTACTGATTTTTCATTAAAAAGAAAAAGAACTATCTGCCATAGTTTGGATCTTAAATGTCCCTCAAAGGCCCATGGCTTGAAGGCTTTGTTCCCAGGAAAGCACTGTTAGAACACGATGAACCCCTTAATAGTCATTAAGTCATTGAACAGCATGTATTTGAAGTGAGTAGCCTCTGCCTGTTCCTGTCTTTGGCTTTCTGGCTGAGGTGAATGGTTTGGCTCTGCCATGCTATCTCTGCCATAATGCAGCATCTCACCACAGGCAATAGGCTCACGCATTCATGTGCTGAAATTTCCAAAACCATGTGCCAAAATAAAACTCTTCTCTATAAATTGGTGATCTCAGATATTTGTTATTATGGCAGAAAACTGACTAACACAGCATCTGAAAAGGAAATTAAGAAAACTATATCACTTATGATAGCACTGAAAAAGTTTAGTGAGCTTGGAAATAAATTTAAACATGTACAATGAAACAATGGCATCAATGAAGGGTGTTGTATAAGGTACAAATATAATATCCTGTGTTCACAGAATGGAAAAATAATGTTAAAATATCCATACCGCCCAAAACAGTCTACAGTTTCAGAGAAATCACTGTCAAAATTCCAATGGTGCTTGTCACAGAAATAGAAAAAGAACAATCCAGAAACTTCACATGGAACCACAAGAGACCCCAGATAAATGTATCATCATACTATATGCCTTAAATACATAGTTTTGTCAATTACACCTTCATAAACTGAAGGGGTGATCAAATTGTGGACAATTCTGGACATAATTTGTACTCAAGAGCTACCATAGGACCAAGCTGAAGGTAGTCTCTAGCTTTGACCATGTCAGGTCAGTCATCTAAGGATAGTTCCTCAGAGAAGGCAGCATCTGTGAGTTGTCCACATCTCACACCCGTAACAGTAGGAGACAGCCTTAGTGGCCAGTAAACAAAGTCCAGGTGAGACACCTCAAGCATTCACTGTATGTTTCAAATATTCTCAGTCTCCTGGGACACCTAGATGGGTTCTGTGACAATGAGAAAGGTAAACAAATTGAGGAAAGGACTGGCTTTTATTTTTGGGTCAAATGATGAAATGATGAATACATTGAACAAATTCAGCAAAATAAGAATCAGGGCCAAGGGTGACCCTACGACTATGTGGCTTTACCACTTCTGTGAAAAGTCTTAAGGAGTCTTGGAATTTCACAGGCCTTACAGTCTGGGAGGGAGGATTTACACATGACTGACACCCCAGTAGATACTTATCCCCATTTCATGGATAACTGAGGAACAAACAGGTAGGTAAATATAATGTAACATGATGAATCAAAAGTAAGATGAGGATTTTTTCCCAGTGTGGATCAAACCTAGGACCTCATGCATGCCAGGCTAGCACTTTTCTTCTGATCTACACTCCCAGCCTAGGATAGCATTTGAATAAAGGCACTGTGATAGGAAGGAAGAGGAAAGGAAAGGAGGAAAATAATTGCATGTTTTTATGTTAATCCATAGCCAGTTATTGAGTCTAGAAAACCTTGATTGCTATGATCCTTCCTAAGGCCCTGGAAATTGGAGCTCTAGGAGAGGTAAAATGTGTCACTCCCTAGTGAATTGCCATGTGCCATCCTTTCTTCCTTAACAACAGAACCCCAATTTCCTTCAGTATAGCCATGTGCCCACTAGGAAAAAAAAGCCTGGTTCTTACTGGTCAAACTTGGGTCAGTTTAAGAGTGGCTAGAGAAATGGCTCAGTAGTAAAGAGCATTTTCTACAAAAGACCTGGGATCACTTTCTAGCACCTACATGGCAACTGGCAAGCTGCCTATAACTTCAGTTCCAAGGGATCTGATGCCCTCTTCTAGCTTCTGTGGGCTCTTGCACACACATGGTGCATGTAAACTCACATAGACACATACACATAAGTTAAAGAAATAAATCTTTAATGATAACAATAGAAAACAATGTCTTACAACACATTTAATTTTTAAAATATTGTATTTATTAATTTTATTTTATGGGTATGAGTGCATTGCTTATAAGTGCACCTATTTTGTGCAATGCCTGCAGAGGTCAGAAGGCATTGGGTTCCCCTGGAACTAGAGTTGTGGACAGTTACTAGCAACCATATGGGTGCTGGGAATGAAACCCCAATCCTCTGCAAGAGTAGCCAGTGCTCTTAACCACTGAGCAATCTCTCCAGCCCTTCAACTTTTTTCTTAATTCATTAGTCCACTCTTTTTAAAATTCTGTTTTATGTAGGCTGGAGAGATAGCTCAGTGGTTAAGAGCACTGACTGCTCTTGGAGAGGACCCAAGCTCTACTGCTAGCAACCACATGGTGCTAACAACCACCCATAATCCAATTCCAGGGGATCACAATGCCATCTTCTGACCTCCTTAGAAATTGCATGACACAGGTGCACTTACACACATGCAGGCAATACACTCATACACATAAAAATAATAAATAAAAAAATTTTAAATTGTTTTATTTACTATTAGTATGCATGTGTGTGGGAACCTAAAAGCCCCACCTTGCAGAAGTCAGAGAGGAAGTTACTGGGGCACAGCCTGACTTGCTTTGAAAGTCTGAAGAATACTTCCACACTGCTGAGGAGTGCATGATCAGCACGTGACCATCCTTAAGATACACTCTGGGGGGCGGGGGATTTCCAGGTGCCTTTATAAGCTCTGTAACACCTGCAATAAATGAGTCCCTGCTTGACTAGGCTCCCGGTTGTGTCTGATTGTCCCTGGTACTGGGGGCAGCGTGGGCTGGCCAATGGTGCGCTTACTCATCCCCAATCATCACAGGGGTCGCTGGCTCCAACTCCCGGCAGCTGGTGCCCAGCGTGGTGCTTGAAGGAAGGTGAAAAGAAGAAAAGAAAGAAGAAAGAAAGAAGAAAAACGGATTGGGCCAATCAGGAAGTTCGGGGTAAGCGAGACCTGGAAAGATGGGTAAAGCAACTTTTAAGCTTGAGGACCCAGCACTTAAAGCACTGAGAGATATGCTTAAAAACAGGGGATTGGATCTGTCAGATCTGGTAGCTCAAAAGGTTTGGGCAGAGGCGATGCATTTGGCTCCCTGACTACTTGGGGCTAATGTTTTTTTTTTTTTTTTACTGGGGATACATGGGAATCATGGGAAGAGTTTGAGGAAGAAGGCAGAAATGCAACAGAAGTGAAACCAAAAGTGGCCAAAGTAATAAGCGGCACCTCAGTCGTGCCCTGGCCAGATTCAGAGCCTCCCAGGACCCATGAAAACAGGACCCATGGGTGCCTTTTTCAGAAGGGTGGGGCAGGGCAGAGTGCACAAGTCAGGGGCCTGCACGAAAGCTGGGCGGGGGACCGCCCCTCCAGCTGGTAACTGGTGGTGGC